TCATTTTAGGGGGGGGGGCTGGCTTTTTGTGACGACGTGTGACGGAGGGGAGAGGGGGAAGTAAAAAACGTCAAAAAAAAGCGTGACGTCATTTATGGATGACCCCTTAGAATCGCAAGTTGCTGGATGAAGACGACAATCGTAGACTATGACGTACAAGAGATGTATGGCAACCCTGGTCACCGCCATTGTATAGTTTGTTGTGGCACTTCATCCAACAACCACCATCTGTGACAACAACGCTTTACTTTTTAATTATTCGACTTTTTTTTGACAGGCAGGAGGAATGCAATCTATTTTGGTATCACAGATAAAGGCAACAGCTGGCGCTCTTCACTGCCAATTCAAATCTCTCTACAATGTTGCAACATGTCTGCCTAGCTAAGTTCTAAGTTGGTCCACTGCCAATTCACGTCTCTCTACAATGTTGCAACATGTCTGCCTAGCTAAGTTCTAAGTTGGTCCACTGCCAATTCACGTCACTCTACAATGTTGCAACATGTCTGCCTAGCTAAGTTCTAAGTTGGTCCACTGCCAATTTACGTCTCTCTACAATGTTGCAACATGTCTGCCTAGCTAAGTTCTAAGTTGGTCCACTGCCAATTCACGTCACTCTACAATGTTGCAACATGTCTTCCTAAGTTCTAAGTTGGTCCACTGCCAATTCACGTCACTCTACAATGTTGCAACATGTCTTCCTAAGTTCTAAGTTGGTCCACTGCCAATTCACGTCACTCTACAATGTTGCAACATGTCTGCCTAAGTTCTAAGTTGGTCCACTGCCAATTCACGTCACTCTACAATGTTGCAACATGTCTGCCTAGCTAAGTTCTAAGTTGGTCCACTGCCAATTCACGTCTCTCTACAATGTTGCAACATGTCTGCCTAGCTAAGTTCTAAGTTGGTCCACTGCCAATTCAAATCTCTCTACAATGTTGCAACATGTCTGCCTAGCTAAGTTCTAAGTTGGTCCACTGCTAATTCACGTCTCTCTACAATGTTGCAACATGTCTTCCTAAGTTGGTCCACTGCCTATTCAAATCTCTCTACAATGTTGCAACATGTCTGCCTAGCTAAGTTCTAAGTTGGTCCACTGCTAATTCACGTCTCTCTACAATGTTGCAACATGTCTTCCTAAGTTGGTCCACTGCCTATTCATGTCTCTCTACAATGTTGCAACATGTCTGCCTAGCTAAGTTCTAAGTTGGTCCACTGCCAATTCACGTCACTCTACAATGTTGCAACATGTCTTCCTAACTAAGTTCTAAGTTGTAATATACAGAATTCCATCTTGTTCCAAACAAAAATTCACTAAAATTCAAACTCTCTCAAACAAAAATTCACTAAAATTCAAGCTCTTCCAAACAAAAATTCACTAAAATTCAAACTCTCTCAAACAAAAATTCACTAAAATTCAAGCTCTTCCAAACAAAAATTCACTAAAATTCAAACTCTCTCAAACAAAAATTCACTAAAATTCAAACTCTCCCAAACAAAAATTCACTAAAATTCAAACTCTCCCATACAAATTCACCCAGCACCAAGCTGTCGCATACAAATAACCCCCACATAACCCCCACATAACCCCCACATAACCCCCACATAACCCCCACGTTTCTGATGAACAATGGAAATGCATCTGATTTAAATAAAACAAAAATCAACACCAAACCAAGGTTACACGGTTTTCTGCAGGCAAAGTAATTTCATCCACAACCTTGCCTTAAAAACTATTTAACCAAAACCTTTCAATACAAATTATTTAACCACAACCTTTCAATAAATACTATTAAACCTTCAACCTTTCAATAAAGACTATTAAACCTTCAACCTTTCAATAGCAACTATTTAACCAAAACCTTCCAATAAAACTATTTAACCACAACCTTACAATAAAACTATTTAACCACAACCTTACAATAAAACTATTTAACCACAACCTTTCAATAAAATCTAGACTATCACATGTTAACTTGTCATACAAGGAGTTAGGGACATGATGCCCTACCATTATTTGATGGATCAAAAATAAAAACAATTGACTGTCTAGCTTTCAACTCCCTTACATGGTGACATTGTCTAGCTTACATCTCCATTACAGTATGAAATTATCTTTCTTTAGTGGTGTTACATTTGACTTACACCTTTCGTACAGTGTAACGTTTCTCGCTTACACCTTCCTTACAGTGTAACATTTTCTCGCTTACACCTTCCTTACAGTGTAACATTTTCTCGCTTACACCTTCCTTACAGTGTAACATTTTCTCGCTTACACCTTCCTTACAGTGTAACATTTTCTCGCTTACACCTTCCTTACAGTGTAACATTTTCTCGCTTACACCTTCCTTACAGTGTAACATTTTCTCGCTTACACCTTCCTTACAGTGTAACATTTTCTCGCTTACACCTTCCTTACAGTGTAACATTTTCTCGCTTACACCTTCCTTACAGTGTAACATTTTCTCGCTTACACCTTCCTTACAGTGTAACATTTTCTCGCTTACACCTTCCTTACAGTGTAACATTTTCTCGCTTACACCTTCCTTACAGTGTAACATTTTTTCACTTTTCTCAAAATCTACTATCTGTTTAGTGGCATATTGGCTCCCCCCCCCCCCACATTGATGAACGGTGCATATTTTACCATCTCATCTGAGCGTGACACGCTGGAAATCACAAGTCTTATTCAAACCGTTGTCCTCGACACACACACAAACACACACACACACACACAAACACAAACTCACACACGCGCACACGCGCACACACGAACACACACACAACCAAACAACTAAAACTCACACACACGCACAAGCACACACACACATAAACACACTCGCGCACACACAATCACATACGCACGCACACACAGACACACACGTAACACATGGGTTAAGATGGTTGGGGCAACCAGCAACACATACAGCCCAGCTGTGATTTGTGGGTAGCTTTAAACATCCTTGACCTTGGTCATCAGTGTGGACTGTGCCTCACTTAAAATCGATGACCGTACAAGGCTAACGACAACTGCCTAGTGTTAAAACTACAGTCATGACCTTACGGAATCTAGACCTTACACAAACTAGACCTTAAGGAATCTAGACCTTACAGAAACTAGACCTTACGGAATCTAGACCTTACGGAACCCAGACCTTACAGAAACTAGACCATAAGGAATCTAGACCTTACAGAAACTAGACCTTAAGGAATCTAGACCTTACACAAACTAGACCTTAAGGAATCTAGACCTTACAGAAACTAGACCTTACGGAATCTAGACCTTACGGAATCCAGACCTTACAGAAACTAGACCATACGGAATCTAGACCTTACAGAAACTAGACCTTACAGAAACTAAACCTTACAGAAACTAGACCTTACAGAAACTAGACCTTACAGAAACTAGACTTACAGAAACTAGACATCACAAAAACTAGACCATACAGAAACTAGATCTACAGAAACTAGACATCACAAAAAACTAGACCTTACAGAAACTAGACTGACAGAAACTAGACATCACAAAAACTAGACCTTACAGAAACTAGACCTTACAGAAACTAGACTTTACAGAAATTAGACTTACAAAAACTACTGGCTAAATTAAAATTGTGGTTGAAACAACGACCCCCAGTTATATTTAACAAACATCACACATGAACAGCATAGCTGTTTGAATTATTATAACAACCAGCCACTGAGTGAATGACAGACAATGAGTGAGCAGACGACTCACTCTACGCCAGACGTGCCGCAGACAAAAGTTTCCCTCCTCAATGGGACACACATTTTCACCATTACATCCTTGCTCAAACTATGTCAACTATTTCAGTTTTTTTGTTCTTCGTTTTCAAAACACATTAACATACGCCATTCACCGTATTCTTACAACTAAAGGGAAATAATTTAAAGGGAAGTAAAAGAGACGGATTTAAAGATAAGTGATTACAACATAGAAATTTAAATCGTAACAATGTACGTTTTGATGTAAATAAATATAGCAGCAAAAAATAACTTTACTTGATGAATTTTTTTTTTTTTTGCGGAAGCAAGCATGAATAGTTTTTTGATAAGATTTTTGTGGCAACAAAAAAGCTATTCTACACTAAAAGAGGAAACGGAAACAGCTATGATACAATACACTAATGGCATCCCTATCGGTAGTCATAGCAACAAATCCTCCAGATTATGGAGCACTTAAGTCTTTAAATAAAATTTAAAAAGTACTAATCCCTCGGACATGTGAGATATCTCTGTGAGGTCTGATGAGATACAGCCGCTGATAGTCTCACGTGCGCTATTTCTAACGCCCTTGTTGGCTAGTTCTGATTCATTTGCTACAACAGTTCACAAATATATAGGGGGAGGGGGGGGGAGAGAATCGATTCAATAAAACAGTCAAGTGCTGATCATTGGGAGTTGACTCTGCGATTGATTTTAGTTCAAAATATAAAAATCAAATAACTTTATTTAATTATTTATAAATAGGCCTATATATATATATATATATATATATATATATATATATATATATATATATATATATATATATATATATATATATATATATAATAAATATATATAATAAATATATATAATAAATATATATATATATATATATATATATATATATATTTATATATATATATATATATATATATATATATATATATATATTCGCATCAGTGTGTATGTGTAATGATGTGTTTATCTCTATTGAGCTGTATAACGAACTGTATGTAGAGTAAAAATAGACCAAGAACGGTAGACAGAACTAAATCAGACATCCAGAAGAAAATTTATGTGTGAAAATGATCCTCATCGTTTCCTGATCTGCCCCGCGGCTAAGTCTAACCCGGATTCAGGCTCATATAGCCTAAGATATAGCCTAAGATATAGCCTAAGACTCGCATGCTGCGACCACATCCCTAAATAAACACCGCGACAGATCAGGAGAAGACAACTCTATATTTCTTTTAACCTCTGCCCTTTTCATTACTCCGCTAACTAGAAAAAATATCTCCGGCAAAAACACATGAAATGGAGTAAGGAAACTTAACGGGTTACACAGAACGCTTTCTCGGTAAGTATTTGTACTAGTCTACTATAGAACCGTTAAAAGTATTTTTATTGTTCGTGTCTACATAAGCCATTAAACATTACCATATAGAAAAATATTTTTGTACACATTATAGAATATAGACCTACTAGTGAAATTTTTTTCGTGGAAAAGTAAAAAAAAAAAAAAGGAAAAAAAAAACAACCTTTAAGGAACTCGACATGTTTCATTAAAGCTTTAGACAGAACACATGGTAGTAGTTTTTAAACCATAACAGCGATACGAGCTACTTAGTTATTTTAAAGACAACTAAGCAGCGTTAAAAATTATCTGGGAAAAAACTGAATGAAGTCCCAGACAACGGGAAGAAAAGAATTAGGCCCCCCGCTAATCCTGTATTCATATCTAGCCACTCTCCTCCACTACATCAGTCTTTATATTTATGTTGTCCCACTTCCCAGTCTTTATGCTGTCCTACTTCCCAGTCTTTATATTTATGCTGTCCCACTTCCCAGTCTTTATATTTATGCTGTCCCACTTCCCAGTCTTTATGCTGTCCTACTTCCCAGTCTTTATATTTATGCTGTCCCACTTCCCATCCTTTATATTTATGATGTCCCACTTCCCAGTCTTTATATTTATGCTGTCCCTCTTCCCAGTCTTTATGATGTCCCACTTCCCATCCTTTATATTTATGTTGTCCCACTTCCCAGTCTTTATATTTATGCTGTCCCACTTCCCATCCTTTATATTTATGTTGTCCCACTTCCCAGTCTTTATGATGTCCCACTTCCCAGTCTTTATATTTATGATGTCCCACTTCCCAGTCTTTATATTTATGCTGTCCCACTTCTTAGTCTCGAAATCAAAAACAAAAACAAATCTAGTTTAGTTCTGCTGAATATATCCTGAATCTTCCGCTAGATCATAATAATGAACTCGTTTAATCTCCTCACCCACCCCTAAATAAAAACCCCACCCCCCGACTTTATTAAGATGCGTTGGGAAAAATATTTCTTTATTTCTTCCCAACCAACAGTACAATACATTTTTTTAACAGCAAGGTGATTTTTATTTTTAGACCCGCCATCATTTACCTGCGCGGACGTCCAGGAGTATGTGGTGTCAACATTTTTTTCTATCTGTTCAGGATCTTCGCCTCAAATCCCGTGTCCGTCGTTTTTACCCACAGTAAGTGTTTGAACTGGTGTGTGTTCAAACCTTGCTGCAGGATATACCTACACGCCTGCGTCAGTGCTGTCATTGCAGGGACTAAGACAGGTTAGTTCACACAGGGACTTAGACAGGTTAGTTCACACAGGGACTTATATGAGACAGTTCATACAGGGACTTACATGAGACAGGTTAGTTCACACAGGGACTTATATGAGACAGTTTAAAACAGGGACTTATATGAGACAGGTTAGTTCACACAGGGACTTAGACAGGTTAGTTCACACAGGGACTTAGACAGGTTAGTTCACACAGGGACTTAGACAGGTTAGTTCACACAGGGACTTATATGAGACAGGTTAGTTCACACAGGGACTTATATAAGACAGGTTAATACACAGGGACTTATATGAGACAGTTCACACGGGGACTTATATGGGCCAGTTCACACAGGGACTTATATGAGACAGTTTAGTTCACACAGGGACTTATATGAGACAGGTTAGTTCACACAGGGACTTATATAAGACAGGTTAATACACAGGGACTTATATGAGACAGTTCACACAGGGACTTATATGAGACAGGTTAGTTCATACAGGAACTTATATGAGACAGGTTAGTTCACACAGGAACTTATATGAGACAGTTCACACAAGGACTTATATGAGACAGGTTTGTTCACACAGGGACTTATATGAGACAGTTTAAAACAGGGACTTATATGAGACAGTTCATACAGGGACTTATATGAGACAGGTTAGTTCACACAGGGACTTATATGAGACAGGTTAGTTCACACAGGGACTTATATGAGACAGGTTAAGTCACACAGGGGCTTATATGAGACAGTTCACACAGGGACTTATATGAGACAGGTTAGTTCACACAGGGACTTATATGAGACAGGTTAGTTCACACAGGGACTTATATGAGACAGGTTAAGTCACACTGGGGCTTATATGAGACAGTTCACACAGGGACTTATATGAGACAGGTTAGTTCACACAGGGACTTATATGAGACAGGTTAGTTCACACAGGAACTTATATGAGACAGTTCACACAAGGACTTATATGAGACAGGTTAGTTCACACAGGGACTTATATGAGACAGTTTAAAACAGGGACTTATATGAGACAGTTCATACAGGGACTTATATGAGACAGGTTAGTTCACACAGGGACTTATATGAGACAGGTTAGTTCACACAGGGACTTATATGAGACAGGCTAGTTCACACAGGGACTTAGACTGGTTAGTTCACACAGGGACGTATATGAGACAGTTCACACAGGGACTTATATGAGACAGTTCACACAGGGACTTAGACTGGTTAGTTCACACAGGGACTTATATGAGACAGTTCACACAGGGACTTATATGAGACAGTTCACACAGGGACTTAGACTGGTTAGTTCACACAGGGACTTATATGAGACAGTTCACACATGGACTTATATGAGACAGTTCACACAGAGACTTATATGAGACAGGTTAATACACAGGGACTTATATGAGACAGTTTAAAACAGGGACTTATATGAGACAGGTTAGTTCACACAGGGACTTATATGAGACAGGTTAGTTCACACAGGGACTTATATGAGACAGTTCACACAGGGACTTATATGAGACAGTTCATACAGGGACTTATATGAGACAGTTCACACAGGGACTTATATGAGACAGGTTAGTTCACACAGGGACTTATATGAGACAGGTTAGTTCACACAGGGACTTTTATGAGACAGGTTAAGTCACACAGGGGCTTATATGAGACAGTTCACACAGGGACTTATATGAGACAGGTTAGTTCACACAGGGACTTATATGAGACAGGTTAGTTCACACAGGGACTTATATGAGACAGGTTAAGTCACACAGGGGCTTATATGAGACAGTTCACACAGGGACTTATATGAGACAGGTTAGTTCACACAGGGACTTATATGAGACAGGTTAGTTCACACAGGGACTTATATGAGACAGGTTAAGTCACACTGGGGCTTATATGAGACAGTTCACACAGGGACTTATATGAGACAGGTTAGTTCACACAGGGACTTATATGAGACAGGTTAGTTCACACAGGAACTTATATGAGACAGTTCACACAAGGACTTATATGAGACAGGTTAGTTCACACAGGGACTTATATGAGACAGTTTAAAACAGGGACTTATATGAGACAGTTCATACAGGGACTTATATGAGACAGGTTAGTTCACACAGGGACTTATATGAGACAGGTTAGTTCACACAGGGACTTATATGAGACAGGCTAGTTCACACAGGGACTTAGACTGGTTAGTTCACACAGGGACGTATATGAGACAGTTCACACAGGGACTTATATGAGACAGTTCACACAGGGACTTAGACTGGTTAGTTCACACAGGGACTTATATGAGACAGTTCACACATGGACTTATATGAGACAGTTCACACAGAGACTTATATGAGACAGGTTAATACACAGGGACTTATATGAGACAGTTTAAAACAGGGACTTATATGAGACAGGTTAGTTCACACAGGGACTTATATGAGACAGGTTAGTTCACACAGGGACTTATATGAGACAGTTCACACAGGGACTTATATGAGACAGTTCATACAGGGACTTATATGAGACAGTTCACACAGGGACTTATATGAGACAGGTTAGTTCACACAGGGACTTATATGAGACAGGTTAGTTCACACAGGGACTTATATGAGACAGGTTAAGTCACACAGGGGCTTATATGAGACAGTTCACACAGGGACTTATATGAGACAGGTTAGTTCACACAGGGACTTATATGAGACAGGTTAGTTCACACAGGGACTTATATGAGACAGGTTAAGTCACACAGGGGCTTATATGAGACAGTTCACACAGGGACTTATATGAGACAGGTTAGTTCACACAGGGACTTATATGAGACAGGTTAGTTCACACAGGAACGTATATGAGACAGTTCACACAAGGACTTATATGAGACAGGTTTGTTCACACAGGGACTTATATGAGACAGTTTAAAACAGGGACTTATATGAGACAGTTCATACAGGGACTTATATGAGACAGGTTAGTTCACACAGGGACTTATATGAGACAGGTTAGTTCACACAGGGACTTATATGAGACAGTTCACACAGGGACTTATATGAGACAGTTCATACAGGGACTTATATGAGACAGTTCACACAGGGACTTATATGAGACAGGTTAGTTCACACAGGGACTTATATGAGACAGGTTAGTCCACACAGGGACTTATATGAGACAGGTTAAGTCACACAGGGGCTTATATGAGACAGTTCACACAGGGACTTATATGAGACAGGTTAGTTCACACAGGGACTTATATGAGACAGGTTAGTTCACACAGGGACTTATATGAGACAGGTTAAGTCACACAGGGGCTTATATGAGACAGTTCACACAGGGACTTATATGAGACAGGTTAGTTCACACAGGGACTTATATGAGACAGGTTAGTTCACTAAGGAACGTATATGAGACAGTTCACACAAGGACTTATATGAGACAGGTTTGTTCACACAAGGACTTATATGAGACAGTTTAAAACAGGGACTTATATGAGACAGTTCATACAGGGACTTATATGAGACAGGTTAGTTCACACAGGGACTTATATGAGACAGGTTAGTTCACACAGGGACTTATATGAGACAGTTCACACAGGGACTTATATGAGACAGTTCATACAGGGACTTATATGAGACAGTTCACACAGGGACTTATATGAGACAGGTTAGTTCACACAGGGACTTATATGAGACAGGTTAGTCCACACAGGGACTTATATGAGACAGGTTAAGTCACACAGGGGCTTATATGAGACAGTTCACACAGGGACTTATATGAGACAGGTTAGTTCACACAGGGACTTATATGAGACAGGTTAGTTCACACAGGGACTCATATGAGACAGGTTAAGTCACACAGGGGCTTATATGAGACAGTTCACACAGGGACTTATATGAGACAGGTTAGTTCACACAGGGACTTATATGAGACAGGTTAGTTCACTAAGGAACGTATATGAGACAGTTCACACAAGGACTTATATGAGACAGGTTTGTTCACACAAGGACTTATATGAGACAGTTTAAAACAGGGACTTATATGAGACAGTTCATACAGGGACTTATATGAGACAGGTTAGTTCACACAGGGACTTATATGAGACAGGCTAGTTCACTCAGGGACTTAGACTGGTTAGTTCACACAGGGACTTATATGAGACAGTTCACACAGGGACTTATATGAGACAGTTCACACAGGGACTTAGACTGGTTAGTTCACACAGGGACTTATATGAGACAGGTTAGTTCACACAGGGACTTATATGAGACAGGTTTGTTCACACAGGGACTTATATGAGACAGTTCACACAGGGACTTATATGAGACAGGTTTGTTCACACAGGGACTTATATGAGACAGGTTAGTTCACACAGGGACTTATATGAGACAGGTTAGTTCACTAAGGAACGTATATGAGACAGTTCACACAAGGACTTATATGAGACAGGTTTGTTCACACAAGGACTTATATGAGACAGTTTAAAACAGGGACTTATATGAGACAGTTCATACAGGGACTTATATGAGACAGGTTAGTTCACACAGGGACTTATATGAGACAGGCTAGTTCACTCAGGGACTTAGACTGGTTAGTTCACACAGGGACTTATATGAGACAGTTCACACAGGGACTTATATGAGACAGTTCACACAGGGACTTAGACTGGTTAGTTCACACAGGGACTTATATGAGACAGGTTAGTTCACACAGGGACTTATATGAGACAGGTTTGTTCACACAGGGACTTATATGAGACAGTTCACACAGGGACTTATATGAGACAGGTTTGTTCACACAGGGACTTATATGAGACAGGTTAGTTCACACAGGGACTTATATGAGACAGGTTAAGTCACACAGGGACTTATATGAGACAGTTCACACAGGGACTTATATGAGACAGTTCACACAGGGACTTAATGAGACAGGTTAGTTCACACAGGGACTTATATGAGACAGGTTCACACATGAACAGATTCGTTCACGGCGTACATCTTTCTATACA